GCACTAGGTGGACTCTAGGTGACAGGGGCCCACCGGGGAGTGTATGTTCTCCCTAACTTATCTTTGGGGTCTGTTCTGTACCTTAAAACAGAGGTCCTATGGTTTTCTCCCACAAACATCTCCGTGACTAGCCCCGGCTTTCTAGATGAGAAACCACAGTGACAACAGAAGGAAAACCTCAAGCCAAGTTTTCAGTAGTCAAAGCCCCGGTCTCTTGTGCTGTTACAGGAGAGGGGGCCCGTGGTCCGGCACAGGGCCAGCTCTTTGACTCTGCTATCCCCATGGGCTGCCCAACGAGCTGCCGCTGCCAAGGGACACTTGGGAGGCAGGCACTCAGCTGCGCTGGGACCCAAGCCCAGTAGTGGCAAGGCAGAGACGGGCTGGCCTCTGAGTCCCCTCAGTGACCCCACCACGTCTGGTCTGCCTTCCCCTGGCTGTGCAGTCTGCAGTCCTGGTATTCGGCCGTGTGTTTACACTGGCCTCCTCCCAACCCCTCCAGGTAGGACATGCCCTCAGACAGATCACACTACCAACAGGGCTCCAGCTAAGAGGCCATGCGAGGGGCCGGAGTGTAGCAGAGACAAGGGCATGGGCAGCCCAGGCGGCAGACAGAGGAGAAGCCAGCAGAGGCAGCGAGGTGGGAACCCGCTTTGGTCCCAGCCTCCAGCTGCTGCACGACTGAGTCCTGAGGCCCAGTGTGTGATGAGCTGGTGGTGAGGGCAGGGTCACCCTCACGGGCGGGGCTCGATGCAGAGTGAGGAACAATGCAAAAGCTGGGTGTGTGGCTATGCCTGCCGGCCAACCCTGCTGGTGGTTAGTGACTGACGACCTCAGTTTCTTCATCTGGAAAAGCAGGCATTGCAATTGCTCAGAGAGGCCCTGAAATCATTCAAGTGGGAGCTCACACAGTAGTGACCCTGAGAACTCGGGGGAATGGTCCTGACACGGCAGACAGGAAGCAGACCGGACAGGAAAGGGTGAGCCCAGCGCCCTGCTTCTGTGAGAATTCAGGGGCCTGAAAATGATCTCATAATCAGGTAGCCGAGAGGGAAAGAGATACTTGCTGTGTGGTCATCGATACGCCGGAAGTCCAGGTACACAAGGTCGGGGAGGTAGGCGCAGATGAACATTTTGTAATCCTCTGCCTCTGAGATGGGGTTCCCAGAGAGACTGAGCGTCCGCAGGTTCTTGAATCGCCGTAGGTAGATGACCTAAGGAGGAGGCGGAGAGAAGGCCCTGTTGGCTTGCCTGCCACTGGGCTGCAGGCACACCTGGTAGCCTTACCACCTAGCATCCTTCTGCAGTTTCCAGCCCAGTCACAGCCTGGTCAGCATTGGGTGGATCAAAAGGTTGGTGCGGGAGTTAGATTTTTTTTTGTGCCAACATGGCTCCTGTAGGAATTTGTGAGTGGAGTTTAGCCTATCACTCAGGTTGCAGCTTGATTGG